AAATCTTAGTGTGCAAGATCAACTTGTGATCTTGGCTAGACAAAGTGGGCCGTGAACGACTTGTGTTCATAGCCAAATGAGGGTTCCCTTTATAAGTTTTTGAATTAATAAAATGTTAGGATTTTTCCATAGTTGATTGTGTTCTCTTTACTTTGCTGCCTAAAATAATTCTAAGTTTACATTTGGTTAAGTATTGGGAAGATTGAGTCAAGTGCGCAACTTGACAGCCGCGCGGGTGTGACTTTGGGCTGACTAATTAAAATTGCCCCTGTGACGCTAAATATCCCTTGTAGTTTATAATATTACACTTATCTGTCTTATTTAAAAAAATTGTATAATAATTCTTTCAACTTATTTATCTTTAGTGTTAAAATTATGAATTGACAAATTAGCCTTTTAATTATTTTTTATTTAATTAATTATGCAGATATCTTATATGAAAATTCGATGGTCAGCCAACCATCACTGATCTGATTATTCTGGTCATGGTTAAGTTTTATCTCTATCATCACTGCCATCATCGTTGTGGCTTTTATGTTCTCTGACAATGTTATCTCCGGCCAGCGCGAGGCAATTCAAGCTTCACCCAGTCTATTTCTTATATATAGGCAACTCTGTTTACCAGTTATAATAGGTTCGCTATTGTATTTGCTAGAGTTGACCACTATTTTTTTAATAACTCATGTAGTATCTGGGCCGGCCTACGCACATTTTAACTAACTCCTCGGAATATCTATCACCTCCTACCAACTTTGACCACTATTGAATTGCTATTGTTTATGTTTTCCAGAACCAATAATCCACTTATATGCGTTCACCTTCATTCTTCAACAAAAAGATTCTTTTGCTTACTCCAGTTAAAATGAACCCATTATTATCCTGATTCTTGTGTTGTTAATGATTGTGTCTTTTTCAAATTTAATGTTTCAGAAAAAGTTTTTTTAATATCATAATTTTTATAATTTATGATAATTAGGTTAAAAAAAGTTATTACAAAGAAACTAAAAATAAAGGACGATAAACATAATATCGTCAATCACAGGAAAGATTAGGGTTATAAATTAAGTCAAATTTGAGGGGGCATCTTTAAAAATATTCTTATATTTTAAAAGAAACTTATTGATCAATTTGTCTTCCTTTGATAAAAGTAATTTGAAACCTCTGTTTTAAACGGCAGAATTGGGACTCGCCCGGGACTCGCTCCGGGGCGGAGCACTTGTAAAACGCCCCTGGGCTTATGTGTGGGGCTTAGTACCGTGGGACTTATGCCTCGGCCATCAGGGCTTACGCCTCGGACACGCCCAACGCCCAGCGTACTGGGCTCGCCTAATAGAACTTTATGCAATTCTAAGTAACTAACCTTGTAAATACTCAAATTTGCTTAATAAATCGTTGACTATTCAAAATTACTTTTTTCTTAATCATAAGTCATTAAGGTGAGAGTATTTTATGTCATAATTAAAATAAAAATTATTGCACGTTATCCACTAAGACTATTATGATAGTTACAACAACAACAACAACCCAGTAAAATCCCACAAGTGGGGTCTGGGGAGGGTAGTATGTACGCAGACCTTACCCCTACCCCGAAGGAGTAGGGAGGCTGTTTTCGGAAGACCCTCGGCTCAAGATAAGAAGAAAAACAAAAAGGGGGGAATGTTAGTTTCACCACAGAGATCATAGGAAAAATAGGAACATAAAATGCAGAAGGAAAAATGCAAAACAAAAACAAAAATGATGGCTAGTAAATAGGTCCTGCACCGAAAAGAGAAAATAGTAAGACACGACAATGCCCCTAGCTATCTCAGACAAAAACCCTACCAGACTAGGCTCACAACAGTACAAGGTAACGCAATACTCAACTACCTCCTAGCCTACAACCGTAATACTTGACCTCCACAACTTCCTATCAAGTGTCATGTCCTCGGAAATCTGAAGACTCGCCATATCCTGCCTGATCACTTCTCCCCAATACTTTTTAGGCCGCCCTCTACCTCTTCTCGTGCCCACCACAACCAGTCGCTCACACCTCCTTACTGGAGCATCTGGGCTTCTCCTCTGTACATGTCCAAACCATCTGAGTCTCGCTTCCCGCATCTTGTCATCAATGGGAGCCACGTGCACCTTCTCCCGGATATCATCATTTCTAATCTTGTCCATCCTAGTGCGCCCGCACATCCACCTCAACATCCTCATTTCTGCTACTTTCATCTTTTGGATATGTGAGTTCTTAACAGGCCAACACTCAGCCCCATACATCATGGCCGGTCTAACCACCGCTTTTAGAACTTAACCTTGAGTATCGTTGGCACTCTCTTGTCACACAAAACTCCGGATGCTAACCTCCACTTCATCCAACATACCCCAATACGGTGTGCGACATCCTCATTGATCTCCCCTCCCCCGTGGATAACCGACCCAAGGTACTTGAAGCTGCCTCTACTAGGAATAACCTGTGATTCAAGCCTCACATTCACGCCCACTTCCTCCGGCTCAGTGCTGAACTTACACTCCAAGTATTCCGTCTTTGTTCTGCTCAGCTTGAAGCCTTTAGACTCAAGAGTCTGTCTCCAAACTTCTAGTCTCTCGTTAACACCGGCTCGTGACTCATCAATCAGAACTATGTCATCGGCAAATAGCATGCACCATGGCACCTCCCCTTGAATATGGTTTGTCAATGCATCCATCACCAGGGCGAATAAGAACGGACTAAGCGCAGAGCCTTGGTGTAACCCCACTGCTATGATAGTTAATTTTAAATAAATCTTTCATTTAAAAGGTATTTATTTATTAAATTTTGTTATGTCTTTACTATATAATAGTCCGCAATTTTTTATAATTATTTTTCTAATTTTTTTTTTCACGTTTACGAGATACAATACTTATTAATTTAATAGCTCAATATTAGCTAGTAACCATTTACAAGTAATTAGTAATCATGGTATTGTATGGTAAATTATGTGTCACTTTATTAACTTGTTGAAACTTAAAAATAAATGATGCTAGAGAATCATATTTAAATTATGGATTATATTTTTATATAAATTCTCTTTCAAATAGAAAGCATATTAAATAAATGGAGTAATATAAGAAAAATATCAAATTATAATATCGAAATTCTTTCAAGATTCATTACTCCTTAAGAGATACATATAAGATTTTGTATCAAATACATGACTTTTGATGTTTGAGTTGTAACGACGTTGCAGCTAATTTGCATATTATGATATATGTCATACTTTTTGTATTATTCATAGTTGAATTATAATTTATAAATATTTTAAACAGATTATTTGTTATAATTTTGTGATTTTAATGTAATTTTTATAATTTTTTTTCATTTTATACTATCTTAAAATTCTTGAAATCAGTAAAATTTAAAGATCCGTGGGACTTACGCCCCATGTCTCAGGGCTTACGCCTCGCCTCGTCAGAAGTAAAATGCCTCGCCTCATGCACCCGCCTTTTAAAACATTGTTTGAAACTATTAATATACTAAAATTTTAAATAAATATTGTTCTATCTTCTCAGAAATTGATTGAATATACTCTTTGACATTATAATCTAGTACTAAATATTTTGCATCATCAAAAAGTATTAAATGGATTCATCATTATCCGTATCACAATTATCAAGTTTTAAGCAATATCTAAAATATTATTGATAATTAAACAAATTAGTAACTCTTTTTCTTTCATGAAGCAGAAAAAAACTTTTTAAATGCATCTCACCTTCATAATTCTCTATGTTACAATTGACACCTTGAAAATTCCATTGCCTCACGCAGGGCGTCCCTTCCATAAAGCAAGTAAAACAACCGTTTTAGGTCACATATTTGGTGGGTTCCATTTTTTGTTATACTTAATAGACTATGTATACTTAAAAAAGGGTTTTGTAAAGTGAAAATGTTTGATTTCTTTCTTTAACAAATACACTTTGTATCTAAGAAAAGCTAAAAAAATAAAAAATAGACTTAAAATAAATAATAAGAAAATTTAAAAAGTTAAGGCCTCTCATAAAGTTTGGCATTAGGCCACAAAATTCATCGAGCCGCCATTGGCCTCGCGTCACCATTGCTTCGGCATATTATGATAAACATTCATGAAAACCTCTTTGCTCCTTTTAGAATATTATTTTAATGTCTTTGCGATGATTTGCTTCTTTAAACAATGAAAGCCATCAATAACTTAAGTTTGTGTACATGTCAATATAAAATACCATACCTAAATCTTCGACCATAAAGGAGAATTGTTCCTTAAACAATATGCGAGTCGCCTTCAAAAGCAATTCATTTGTCTTTTTTATTTATTTACTAGAAATAGGAACCTTACACAAGAAGCCAATTATCCGAACGGTGGCTTTTAAAGTTTGGCCTTTGAAGCGTCACTTTGTTTAGCTATGTGGAGTTATATCAATTATAAACTAATGAAAAAATATACCGTTATAAAATAATAGTCGAAAAAAATATATAAAATTTGTATATTTTTTGTATATATATACATTATGTATATTATATACAAAAATTATACAGATTTTATACATTTTTTCGGCTACCAGATATAAATAGTTTCTGGCGCAGGCTAAAAGTGATAATACCTCTGAACTAATCGACACCAATTAATTAATTTCAAGTTGAAAATTGTATTAATTATTTAGAAAGGCCATTTACTAATTTAAATTATAACTTAACAGTTTCCGACTTTTAATTTAGTATAAATATAAATAAATATAGATAGATGTGGGTTAAATTATGGCCCGTCACTGCTCTCTGGCTCGTTCCCCCATGGGATGGTTGAGAAAGACATTTGTTGAGAAATTACAACGAAATTTGATAAGTTTATCTTTTTAGTTCAATCAAAATTTCACCTTGGTATTAAATTATCAACAAAAAAAAATGGCAAATAGAAGACAATGTGACATTTCAACACAATGTTGAAAGGTTGGACAGTATCTATTAAGTATCTCACTCGTGACTTATCTTTACTTTCTTCTTACCAACCCATGCTTTTCCTTGTAGTTTCCAGGCAAAAGTGTTAAGACTTTTCATAACAAGAAAACAAGAAACAAATTGGAGCCTTTTCATTCTACCTTCCATTTTGTTCAGAAAGCACATCAAACTTCATCAAATTAAAGCAACGGACGTGATGGTTGGTTTTAATGAAGAAACTGAAATGCTTATAGAGCAACTTGTGAGAGGACATCGGCAATTAGATGTGATCTCAATATTTGGAATGCTAGGACTCGGAAAAACAACTTTGGCTAAGAAATTTTATGATCATGAAGCAATTTCCAATCGCTTCGATATTCGCTTGTGGTGTTGTTCTTCCCAATCTTATAATAATAGAGCTCTCTTGTTTGAATTATTAGGTCATATTTGTGAGATTGATGATTTTATTAAAGAAAAAAGTGATGATGAGTTAGCTGAGAAGCTTTATAGATATTTGAAGGGAAAGAGGTACCTTATTGTAGAGGATGATGTGTGGAGTCCTAATGCATGGGATGATATAGAGAGACCGTTTCCCGATGATAATAAAGGAAGTAGAATTATTTTGACAACTAGACTTGAATCAATTGCCACGTATGCCATGATCAATTCGAGTCCTCATCATCTTCGCTTGTTCACAGAAGAAGAAAGTTGGATGCTACTGAAGGAGAAGGTATTCAAAGAAGACAATTATTATCCTCAACAACTCGAGGATATAGGTAAGCAAATCGCGACAAAGTGTGGAGGATTACCACTTGCAATTGTATTGGTAGCTGGTGTTCTTGCAAATAATGATAAGGAAGTAATTCATTGGCAACAAGTAAGGGAACGTTTGAAGTTAAAAATGCAAGGTTGTATGGATATAGTTGAATCGAGTTATCAACACTTACCCGTTCATTTGCAGAATTGTTTTCTCTACTTTGGTTCATTTCTAGAGGGTGAGAAAGTTCCTGTTCAAAAATTGATACGACTATGGATCGCAGAAAATTTTGTTGAAGCTAGTAGTACTACATTGAAGAGCTTAGAGATGGTTGCAATGGATTATTTGATGGATTTAATTAGGAGCAACCTAGTGATGGTGGCTAATATAAATTCCTCAGGGGAGCTTAAAGCTGTCTATATTCATGATGTAATACATGAATTTAGCTTGAGGAAAGCTAAAGTTGGCAACTTTTTGCTGAGGATAAATGACCGGCTGTAAGTGAAATCAATTTAATTATGTATCTAGCCTTTTGAAGGAGAGACTTGGCGTAACTGGTAAAGTTGTTGCCATGTGACCATTGTGGTCCGACCCTTCCTTGCATTTTGTTGTTTATTAGATATCAATTTAATTATGTATCTCCTTCTTGAACCAGTGTTTATATACTTCCATCTTCCAAAGGTCGCTCTGGACGCATATATATCTTAGCACCTTCCGGATGAAATATCAACACCTTAAGGACGGAGAGTTTTCTAACCTTAAAGTTTTGAAATTAAAGAAACTAGGACTCTCGGAATGGACTGCCTCTGATGACTCGTATCCCAACCTAGAGCAAGTACTGGTGCACGGGTGTTGGAAACTAGAGGAAATTCCTTATAGTTTTGGGAGTAGTTGCTCAATGCAACTTATTGAGGTAAGATCATGTTGTGACTCCGCAGTAAATGCTGCCCTCAAAATTAAAGAAACACAAATTGAGGAGATGGGGAATTCTGAATTCAAGGTTATTATTTGTAAGTAAAGTCACAAGCCTGATTCCGAAGGGTTGTTTTAATTAGGTTTCTTGTCATATTATTTAATTAAATATGTAAATGAAATGCTATGCATGGTATGTAATGCCATCCTATAATTGCTTGATCTAAGAGTCTAATAGATTGAGTGGCCTCCTTAGAGGACTCTTGCTGCAGTAGGACAGTTAGTAATCTGAAAGGTCTTGGGAGTGATTGACTGTCCCCAATTATTTAGGGACAGTTACTCAAAAGGGCAGCCCGGTTCACTAAGCTCCTGCTATGCGCAGGGTCCGGGGAAGGGCTGTACCATAAGGGCCTATTGTACACAACCTTACCCTGCATTTCTGCAAGAGGCTGTTTCCACGGCTCGAACCCGTGAGCTCCTGGTCACATGACAACAACTTTCCAGCTACGCCACCAAGGCTCCCCTTCAAAGATTAAGTCCCCAAATAGATTAAGTATTGTAACCATAAGTAAAGGTAGCATGACAAACAAACTGTGATCCTCTATCTCGAACATAGCAATGAACTAACTGAGGCTCTGAGATCTGGAAATTGATCATCACATGTTGTTGTTTCCAACATATCCATATCCTTCCATTAGGGGTTGAGGTATAATCTGTAGCAATCTGCCAATAAATGTAAATATAGCAGTATCCTAGATTTTAACACATACACGTATGAACTGTTTTTCTCCAACAAAACAATATTAGCAAGTATAGTAATGATGCTGCAAGGTAAAAAAGCTACCTTAATGCAGTAGCCTTCTCCGTGGCCGGACAATAAGACAAATAGCGCCAAAGCATAAGCTAAAGACATGATGTATCGACTCAGTAAAGAAAACCAATTACAGAAACAAACTAAATGCATATGTCATGTCCAGTTAGTTCAAACTCTGGATATTGGCAACCGACTGAACTTAATATCAGCAAAGCATTAAGGATGGGAAAGCAACAGCTCAAACATTGGCAGAAAGAAAGCATGCTTGCTCATGGAATTAAGGCTATACTGAAAAACTGCCATCCCAGCATCGCATCAGATATCAATTCAATGTCGCAGGTTCAACTCCTATTAAAATGTTGCTTTTGTTGTCTGACTTATATCTTTAAATTTTATCTACTAGTTGCATCATAGGATGTGTCAATTTGCACAACTTGGTATCGCAAATACTATGCAGACTGTTGTCCATTTGCAAGATTAAGACCTGAAAAAGACATCTACTTATGATTTACTGATCTGGTTCCAATTCATTGGCCCGATATGTTGGACTCGAAAGATTGTTCTCTTGTACTTTAGGGGGCATCCATTTTAAACTAGGTATACTGAAGTCCTTGTGAAGTGAGTTTGAGAACTGGTTCTTGAATTAGTGGCTATATCAAAGAATTTTTACTTTGCCATCCAAATTTTTCGGGTCTTTGCACAATAGTATTTGCACTTTTAAAGTAATCTTGCAGCAAGTGGTGTTAGGTCACAAGAAGAAACTCTTGAAGCTTCAGTTTTTCTATCATTTCTTTTGATATTACTTGTTTCTATTGTTTCTTTTCTCTTTCTTGAGTTGAGGGTCTATCGCAAACAGCCTCTCTACCTTCCTAGAGTTGGGGTAAAGTCTGCGTACACACTACCCTCCCCGCACCTCACTTGTGGTATTCAACTGGGTTGTTGTTGTTCTTTCTGTTGTATTACCATACTTGACCAACTAGCTAGTACTAGTTGATAACTTTGAGGGTAATTAAAGAAGAGAAAAAGAAGTCGATAAAGTGATAAGTTTTTTTCTTGTGCAGAAAAAATAGAAGGAAGAATAGGTAGTGAATTAAGGCATTTGAGAAGCAAAGTAGAGTATAGATGGATCTGAACTAGTTATAAAAACACCAAAGAAGCTTAAGGCTACAACGACTAATGGTGAAGTAAAAAAGGTAACAGTTGTCGACTGCTACTGAGAACCTAACAGAACTTTTCACTTAGATGGCACCTGGAATGGATTTTTGTAATTGAATTAACGAAAGAATATCCAATCCCTGCAAAAAGTCAGGATGGATAATCGCTCTATAGAACAGAAGTCATCTGAGGCTTCTGCAGAATTTCTTCTCTATATAGTAATCGCCTTTTCGTTGAACCATGGCACGTGTAGATAATGCTCTCGAGGCAATGCCTTATGCATGAAACATCATAAGTCTCAAGAAATTTCAGGTCTGTTTCTCTCCACTTTGTGCCTGCAAAATGCTTGTACTCCTCCATCACAGAAGACAAACACCAACTCTGCCATTTCCTTAGGCAACCGACAATGCAACCAGTTCGATGCTGCAGGAGTAAATGAAGTATGTATTATAACCATAGCACAGAGATGGGAAATTGAAGTAGAAATGTCAAAATCGCAGAGGGCCCAAGGCAAAAATTAAGTTCAACTATTAAGGTTGTTACACTGAGCACATTGTGCACCAGGATGCTTTGTGTACCGGGCTGTATTTTACTAAAAGCCAAGCAATCCAGACTGTAAAGAGAAACCAAATGTTTCAAGCTCCACCAGATACAGAAAGCTGGATAATAGGATGCTAGAAATAGAGAACAAAAGGGAATAATACTTCAGTTTTGCGAACAAATCAGACAATCAAATCGGTACAAATTCAAATGAAACTCGAGGGAGACAAGTGAACACCTACTGGAATATAAGTTCAACATTTTGCAGCAAAAAATATGAGGATTTTAGTAGCAAATCAGCAGGCACAAATTGAATAAAATATAAAGGTACCAAAACAGATAAGCATAGACAACAAAACCAAAAACTTCAGAAAAAATGCACATCTAAGAGCTGCCCGAGTTAAAACAAATCAAGTTAATGCACCTTTCCGCGCTTGCAGTGGATAAGAACTGGATGATTTCTGACATCTAAAGACAAAAAGAAAAGAATGTCAACATTCGTATAATGGTAGTATAGGCCTAAAACACATGATAGTGAGAATGCTAGAGATTGTATACCTGTTAGCACTTTCAAAGCCTCTGTTATAGCACTCCTGGACATAGCTGATGCCTCCTGAAAGGGAAAAAACTGATTGAGGTAACTAATTTATACCATTTCAGTTACCACCATTTCTCCCATTACCATCATATCATAATCAGAAGCCGGATTATCGAGGCCAAACATCTATCAGTCAACTACTCTCAATCCCAAGATAGTTGGAGTAGGCTATATTAATTCGTATCTTTATAGGGTTCTTCATAATTAGAATATTTTACTATACTCATTAACCTACTGTAACTTTCCTCCTCTATACCAACCTTGGAATCTGCTATACAGTCAGACCTTTCTATAACAACTATCTTGTATAACAGCATTTCTATAACGACCAAGTGTTCTTTGGAACCGGTTTTTCATGTTATGTTAAATTATATGGTCTCTACAACAACATTTCGTTATAGCAGCCAAAAAATTTCCAGACAAATACATTGTTATAAGGATGTTTGACTATGCTTGCAAATCTCACATAGGGAGACTTGATAAAACCCAATATAGTACCTAAAATTTGCAAATTATTTGCTAATCTGCCTCAAACAGAAAAGGAACAAGAAAAGGTGAAATATTCTGTGAGAAAACAAAGAAGCATTCACATATAGTTTTGGTTATATGTGAAATGTATAATCATTCATAAAACAATATCTAGACATAGGAATAAATTCTACTGAACAATCCACGGTGATATAAGATTAAAAGACAAAAACCTGAGTTAATTGTTTATAGAAAAAGTTTTACAAATAAAAGAGAAAAAGGATTGAAGAAAAATGAACTACCTTAGTGCCATCCATTCCAAATTGGAAAAGCTTTATTTTGTTAAATCGAAGAAACTCCAAATTCTCTTCAGGATAAGGCTCTGGACACAAACATCTGCAGACAATAAATAAATAAATAAAAAATCAATCCTCAATTCCCCACAATGAGAAGAACAAACTCAGAGAATCTTGAAAAAAAATAATGACAAATTAATATTCCCTTTTTTCCTTTCTTCCTCTTGGGATATTAACTTATATACATTTGCAGAATGAGTGAAATTTAACCACTAAGTTAAAACATTAGACTTGATACAGAAAGTTGGCTATTGTTATAGGTCAACTTAAACTGACAGTGTAAAAAAATTTTTCAGTGTCACTGCACAGAACATAAGCTCAACAACAACAATACTACGCTGCAATTCCAAACAAGTTAGAGTCGGCTATATGAATCTTCAGTGACCTTATTTTTATTTAAATTATCTCAGGTCAACATAATATAAAATAAAAAGAAAAAAGAAAAATACTAGAAGTTCTCTTATGTTTCCTACTGAAATAATAAGAATCTCAACTAGCTAAAAATAGAACATAAAATGAGAGACTAACATGATAGAGCTCAGATTGAGTGACTGCAAAAATGGGAAATTGGAAGGCTGAGGGAAGCCACTTCTGTAAATGCAGTTATCTTCCACTACTGAAAAATTTGTGGGTGGCACTAAAATACCATCATCTTCTTGCAAAATCAACTCCATTTATTTACCTTTTTTTTTGTTGCTATTTAATCTCAAATTCACAGAAAAATAAATATAATAATAATTACGTCTCAATTTCAAGAAAGTCGAAGCAGACTATGTGAGGTCGACTATATGAATCCTCACAGATAAAATGTTTCAACTGAAAATCAAGAAAAGGTTTCAGGTGTCAATGTTGTATTTTTAGATAAAGATTCTTCTAATAATTCAACTAAAAAAGCAAAAAGGTTCATGTTTGTTGGGAATCTAGTGAATTTTGTCCAAGTTTATATAGATAACTATTAATATGTCTATTTACGTATGTTAAAGGGTGGGCCCTTACACTATCCAAATGTTTTTGGCCTTTCAAATTGCTAAAATTATGTTTAATTTCTTTAGGAATTTTCATGTCCAAGAGATAATATCAAGTATATGATGTGTAATGTTTGTTTCCAGATATGTATAAAAAATGAAGCAAAAAATAATTGACCAGTCACAATCTGCACTTTTTCCTTAAATTATTTAATTCGTTAGTTTTTATTTTGTATGACAATTTGATTTTTCTGACGTCACATTTATCACAGAAAATATTCAACAAAAAGTTCTTTTTGAGTGAGATACTGAATAATGTTATAAATATATTATATTGTGGATGTTCATTTAGCACTCCGTTGTAAATAAGCTTCCTGAAGAAGTTTATCCATATGGGACTCCGCCGTTAATATGTTTATCTATTGAGTACTCTACTGGAAATGAGTCTCCTGAAGAAGCTTATCACTTTGGTACCCGGTTATGGATAAACATTACCCCCGGTAGAAGATTATCTATATCGGGTATAATAAGCTTATCATTTCGATACCCGGTTGTGGATAAACATTACCCCCGGTAGAAGATTATCCATATCTGGTATAATGAGCTTATCCTTTCGATACCCGGTTATGGATAAACATTAGTCTCAGTATAAGATTATCCATATCTGGTACAGTAGCAACTTACACAGCAGCCCGTAGCAGCTTACACAGCAGCTTACAGTAGAAGCTTACACAGCAGCTTGTAGCAGCTTACACAGCAGCTTGCAGTACAGCTTGCAGTAGCAGAATTCAAATAATATATCAGTTTCTCTCTATACTTGTCTTTACTTTACAGTCTTTATTTTATAACACGTTATCAGCACGAGACTCTGCCATCTCGAGCAAATACTTTGAAAGTATCTGAGGTACGAACTTTCTTTTTCTATATAATGTCAAATCTTTCTAAACTTGAATTTGTAGCCCTGGATATATCGGGCAAAAGCTACATGTCTTGGGTGCTTGATGCTGAAATTCATCTTGATGCGATGGGTCTGGCAGACACCATCAAAGACAAAAATCAGGCATCAAACCAAGACCGTGCCAAAGCAATGATATTCCTACGCCATCACCTTGATGAGGGCCTGAAAATGGAATATCTTACTGTTAGAGATCCAGTCATACTGTGGAATAATTTGAAAGATAGATATGACCACCTGAAGATGGTCGTTCTTCCACAGGCACGTTATGATTGGACTCATCTAAGGCTACAAGATTTTAAATCTATCAGTGAGTATAATTCTACTATGTTCGGAATTATTTCCCAATTGAAATTATGTGGTGATAATATTACTAATCATGATATGTTGGAGAAAACTTTCACCACTTTTCATGCCTCGAATATGCTCCTGCAGCAGCAATATCGAGAGATGGGATTCAAAAAGTATTCTAAACTTATCTCACATCTTCTTGTAGCCGAGCAACATAATGAGCTATTAATGAAAAACCATGAAAGTCGACCTACTGGTTCTTGTCCATTCCCTGAAGTGAATGAGACGAACTTCCACCAAGCTAAGCGCGGAAGAGGTCGTGGCCCCAGTCGTGGTCATGACCGTGGTCGGGGAAGAAACTTTAATCATGGTAATAATAATGCACCAAAGAACCCTCCTCGCCACCAGCAGTGAAAAAGGAAGGAACAAAAGCATGAAGCGGTGCAAGCACCAAATGCAGAAAATGCATGCTATAGATGTGGAGGAAAAGGGCACTGGTCACGTACTTGTCGTACGCCAAAGCACCTGGTTGAGCTTTATCAAGCCTCCCTAAAGAAGACTGAGAAAAATGCTGAAGCAAATTTTATTTCTGAAGATAATTTAGACTTCATGCATTTAGATGTAGCTGATTACCTTGCTCTCCCAGATGGAGAAACAAGTCATGTAAACGGTGGTGAATCTGTAGAAATGTAAATATTTTATTTTTTGTTGTTTGTAATAGATAGTATGGTTATGTAATTGTTGTACATAAAGAAAAATTATGATTTGATAATGATGTTTAATATAATATATCTTATTTATGTCATTTTGAAGAATATGGATAACATTATTAGATCAACTTAAACTCTAGCAGAGTTTGCAAGAAATATACAACCACCAGAAGTGGTTATATTTCGTATATCTCATTGTAATTATATTTTGTTAACCACCAGAAGTGGTATATGCCTATGATCACCAGAAGTGATAATTTAGGCTTTCTATGGTTACAATTGAAGATAAGCTACATAAATATTCTCTATATTAAACGCCTCGATTTGCTCCTGAAGTAGTAAATATTTTAAAAGAGGTTGAGGCATCACAATTTGATGTGATTAATGCGCATTCAGATAATTATGTTCGATTTTCCTGAAGGATGAGAACTTTTGATATATTAATCCATTCCCTGAAGTGAATGTGACAATATTAATAAATCTGGTAAATATGAACGCGCTCTTGATGTAAATATATTACAATTCACCTCCAGAAGAGGTAATATAATTGAGAGAATATATACTCAATATTTCGTATTTTAAATTTGCTCCTGAAGAAGTAACACAATTGAAATTGCCTCCTGAAGTAGGAAAATATTATGAAGAGGAGTTTTCTTGTGCTTAAATAATTGTTTATTTGATTGTGGTTTTCTCTTATGATACCAGAAGTGTCTGAGCAATATTTGATAGTACAAAATGTATCAACAACTCCTGAAGAGCTAAGTGTTTGCCTAGAAGACACATGACACCAGTAGTGTCCGATAAATATTAGATTGTGGATAATAAATGAAGGCTCTCGAAGAGCTTATTTACAAATATGTCATTCATATTATATGATTATGGTCAAAACATATGTTGTAGTAAACCCGAAGTTTACTAAAATAAATAGCTATCATATTGAGACTGTAAATGATTGGAAGATTGAAAATCTTCATGTTTCCACAATCATAGGGGGTAAAATAATATGTATATGAGAAGTTACCCGCCTTATTCTTCGATTTGTACTACATCATGTATCACGGTAAACCAGAAGTTTACTAATACAAAAGTAGCCACAGTAAATAAGAAGTTTGCTAATGCAAAAGTTTATGTCATAGTAAACCAGAAGTTTACTAAGAGATAGCACATGTAATGATAAACTTGAAGTTTTCATTTGCCATTTTTAAATGAGCTATTTGAGAATTTAGATAAGCATATACTAAAGAACTAGAAGATTCTTCAAGAATTCTCATGTGTTGCTTGTTCTCATAATAAATTGATTATACCAGCTAAAGTTGGGACTAAGACCCCTGATTCTGAAATATATAAAAGGTGAATATGGGCTCATTCACCTATCATGTGAACCACTTATAGATGCATATATAAGATGGTTACATGTATGTTTATTGTCAACCTGCAGTTTGGCATTTGAAATTGCTTTTCTCACTTAAGAGCATGATTTTAAGATTATGAAATCAAGACAGTTCATCTTAATAATGCTGGTTTATATACAAGCTAGTTTATCAGTGAATACCTCCTATTAATGGCTAAACTATTGTTTATGAGAACAAAGCTTCATGTGTTGGTCTAAGATTTTCTAAATTGCATATAGCAGCACTTGTATGCATCAGACCAACAATATATGATAAGTCCTCTCCTCACAATTGGTTTAGGATCAGAAACCAAATATTTTACTATCTTTTGATGTGTGGTATATGATTAATTTCTCTACCACAATGCACAAAGATATGTTTCCCAAAGAATATTGGGAATATATGTTAGTTTTTCTAACATTTGGGGAATGGAATAAACAGCTGAAAAATATGCTATATGAATCGAATTATCATTAATATGATCCTCACTTAGAAGATAATTCAACTCAAATGCCAGAAGCATTTGCTGATCCAAAATCAAATATCATATTTCAGCTGCAAATGCTCCTATTAAAATTTAAAGTCCCTAAAGGATAGAGTTTACTGTATGCATGAAGCGTGGTAGACCAATCGGTTCCAAAGGTAACAATCCTTGAAAAATGATAAGGAGCTAATGATCAAAATGATCATAATGAGGAGGAAATGAGCTCTTGAAGAGCCCACGACATAACATTTCATGGAACTCCAGAAGAAGTTGAGGTACCTGAAAATAAAAAAAGTGATGAGATCTCAACAAGTTATGTCGCTTAGGAACCGATACAAAATGATCGTCGACGATATATTTGATACAATATAGTGCACAATACTGTGAAATATTATGAGGATCGGACCAGTAGTCCAGTGTCATGCCATTTAAATGCGAGTCATAACCTATATGACTCATTTGATTAAATCTCTATAAAGATCCCTGAAGGATTTAAAATGCCTGAAGCATGTAGTTCAAAGTCTCGAGAAATGTACTCGATCAGATTATAAAGATCTTTGTACGGTTTAAATCAATCTGGGCGCATGTGGTATAATCGCCTTAGTGAATATTTGCTGAAAGAAGGTTACATAAATGATGTTATTTGTCCATGTACTTTTATAAAGAAAATGGCATTAGAATTTGTTATACTTGCTGTTTTTGTTGATGACATAAATCTTGTTGGAACTCCAGAAGAGCTCCAAAAGGCAATTGAATATCTTAAGAAAGAATTTGAGATGAAAGATCTTGGAAAGACAAAACTTTGTCTTGGTCTGCAAATTAAACATTTAGCAGACGGGATCTTTATCCATCAATCTGCATATACGGAAAGGATCTTAAAACGCTTTTACATGGACAAAGCGCACCCATTGAGTACACCAATGGTTGTTCGATCACTTGAAGTGAATAAGGATTTGTTCCGACCTCCAGAAAAGGATGAGGAACTCCTTGATCCCGAAGTACCCTATCTCAGTGCAATTGGTGCACTAATGTATCTTGCTAATGCTATAAGGCCTGACATATCATTTTCTGTTAATTTACTAGCAAGATACAGTTCTTCTCCTACACGAAGACATTGGAACGGGATTAAGCATATATTGCGATATTTAAAGGGAACTCTTGATATGGGTTTGTTTTATGCTAACAAAGATAGTGCAGATTTTGTTGGTTATACAGATGCAGGTTATTTATCTAATCCCCATAAAGCACGATCTCAAACCGGGTACGTGTTTACATATGGAAGTACTGTCATATCATGGCGCTCCACAAAGCAATCTATTGTTGCTACTTCTTCAAATCATGCTGAGATAATAGCTATTCATGAAGCAAGTAGGGAATGCGTATGGTTGAGATCAATAATTTATTTTATTCGAGAAAAATGTAGTTTGGAATGTGAGAAAAGACCCACAATTTTATACGAAGACAATGCTGCGTGCATAGCCCAATTGAAGGGGGATTTATAAAAGGAGACAGAACGAAGCACATTTCACCAAAATTATTCTACACACACGACCTTCAGAAAAATGGTGACATTGACGTGCAACAAATCCGTTCAAGTGATAATCCAGCAGATTTATTCACTAAATCTTTGCCAACTTCAACATTTGAGAAGATGGTATACAAAATTGGAATGCGGAGACTCAAATATTTGAAACAAGGTTTTCATCAGGGGGAGTAAAATACGCGATGCACTCTTTTTTCCTTACTAAGGTTTTTTTCCATGGGGTTTTCCTTATAAGGTTTTTGATGAGGCACCTAGCAATGCGTATTACTAAATATGTGTACTCTTTTTCCTTCACTAGGATTTTTTTTCCCACGTGGTTTTTTCTAGTAAGGTTTTAATGAGACACATTATCTTTTAATGAACATCCAAGGGGGAGTGTTATAGTGGATGTTTATTTAGCACTCCGTTGTAAATAAGCTTCCTGAAGAAGCTTATCCATATGGGACTCCGCCGTTAATATGTTTATCTATTGAGTACTCTACTGGAAATAAGCCTCTGAAGAAGCTTATCACTTTGGTACCCGGTTATGGATAAACATTACCCCCGGTAGAAGATTATCTATATCGGGTATAATAAGCTTATCCTTTCGATACCCGGTTATGGATAAACATTAGTCTCAGTATAAGATTATTCATATCTGGTATAATGAGCTTATCCTTTCGATACCCGGTTATGGATAAACATTAGTCTCAGTATAAGATTATCCATATCTGGTACAGTAGCAGCTTACACAGCAGCTTGTAGCAGCTTACACAGCAGCTTGCAGTAGCAGCTTACACAGCAGCTTCCTTTCTTCTATAAATAGAAGAGATATCAGTTCATTATTTACATCAGTTTGAATTCAAATAATATATCATTTTCTCTCTATACTTGTCTTTACTTTACAGTCTTTATTTTATAACAAATAAGTCAAATTAGGTGTAATATGCTCTTCTTATGGTATTGCTTGAACTTGTCAACCTCGAGTGTCTATGCAATTTTCTTTTTGGTTTTGATTTTCAATTAGGTGTGCCCACTTTGGGACCTCAATTAATTTGGATTCGCATCAAGTAAGTTCATTAAAAAGGGAAGCGTTCCTTACAATTTTTTTTTATTTTTTCATTTATAGGCTCGAACCTGAGATTTCTGATTAAAGATGAAATGATCATACTCATTCCATCACAACTCTTGATGCTAGCGTAATATTTGAAAGTGTCGATCACTTCAAAATTTAAAACTTAAATAATTAAAGTTAGATGTAAGTTGATATAAAAGAGATTACTAGTATATTGTTAAATTCTTATAATAACATACTAAAAACAAGATCAAATTAAAAGGTAAAACTGTGGAAAGTTTGAATGCCTTGTATAATTTGGGGTAGACTCAGCAGCTTTATTTTCTAAATATCATTACTATGAAATCAAATTTCATTTTTATTACTATTAAAAAAAAATTGGGATGCATACGACATTTTGTGGACGCATACGACGTACACATGTTATCAATTTTTATTTTTATTTTTAGTTTAAGAATAATGGTTATCCTTTTCTCTAACTTTGAGGTAAACTGGTAACAGTACACTACAA